TAGACAATTTTCATGCAAAGGATTTTCTTTTTGATAATGGTCCAATTTTCCTTTGACCTTCTAATTTTTTGTTGAAGAACAGTTCAGGAAACAATCTGGTTTTGATGCAATTTTTGTGAGCATGTGTGTGTTCTAAATAAACTCAATTAGGTCATATGACTCACAAGCTTTCTGTGGTCTCACTGACTTTATGTTTTGTCTAGAAACAGTTCAATTGATATTATGTGATTACATAGACATTTTTAAATCACTCCTTGTAAAGATATGTCAGTAAATATTTGAAAATACTGTATTTTGAATTTCTTATTTCACAAAACATTTCCTAACACTCTGTAGAGTATACCAATTTGAGCAGCAGACGAATGCTGGAGCCCTTGAGTGTTGCAGAGCCAGCTGTTGTCTGTGGCTGAAGCTCTGTGATTAAAGCTAAGGAAGGCCTGAGGACATTGATGGAAAATGTGCAGACCAGGTGCTGCCCTTGGGAAAGCTCACACCCATGCCAGGATGTCTATCTTGTCTTCATTTTTGTTCCATTGTAGGTAAAACTTATCCAAATGACAATATTTGACACCAATCCAAGAAAGATCTCCAATGTTCACATTCATAATCACACTCATGCCTTTTCTTTTTAATTTCTTTCTATCTATCTATTTATTTATTTATTTTTATGAAACCTGGGCACACATCGGCAGATTTGTAGAAAATCTGCTTTTGGAACAAACTCTCAGAATCTATGTGGTTTTTCTTCATGAAATTACTTCTGCTTCGGTTTGTTTTGTTTTATGTGCTTTATTGTTTTGTTTTTAATGGTTAATGCTCAATTCAATTCAAGCCTTTATATTTTTATTGATTGACATATCACTACCTCCAGATTCTGACATTATAGGAAGCCATGAATGTCTGTGACGAGAAGTGCAGATTCTGGTGTTAGGTAATTCTGAAGTTTGCCTCCCAGTGTGTCCATAAAAATAGGCAACTGAGATACAGAGAAACAGAATTGTGGTTTTTATTTATGTTTTACTTTGTCTACTAAGGAATGATAACACTCTGTAAGATGTTTGTGAAGAGATACAATTAAATATAGGAAATACATGAACTTTTCCAACAAATGTTTCTAATTCACTGGTTTATTCAAGGGAATGTTCTACTTAATTGTTCATCAAAGAGCTAATATTCATGAATTTAAAAAGACATAATCCATCACATGACTTCCTAAATCATGACATGGTTTTTAAAGTTAAAGAACATACTATGCCAGAAGTAGAATTGCCCAGAGTTCCAAAGTTTACCTCCATGTCTCCTCATAGGTGTTTTAGAAAATTTAAAACCTCAGTGATACTGCAAAAGCAATCAGTGATTTGTACTTGGTAGAAATCTTAAAACCTTGAAAGAGTGGTTAGGTTATTTTCAGGTCTTTCCCCATTTATTTATTTATTTTTTAATACAGGGAACAAATCTGTGAGCACTGTATGAAACAGGGAAGCTGACGATTAATCACTGTAGAAACATCCTTTCCTATAATTATATCATTCCTATTACTTCTCTGGACCCAAAATGATCCAACTTGTCTGGAAAAAGAAATGGGTCAGACATTTATGTAGCCATGTTGTTAAGGATAAGTTGACATCTCAGAAGATTTATGACCAGTCCTTCAATACCTGTCACCTCCTACCCTCTGTGCTTCCACTGTCTAGTAAAAATCAATTTATTTTTCATTAAAGCAGCCAGGAAAAATAAATAGATGGAGAACTGAATAGTTAAATGAGGTGTGTGTGGAAGGGGATATTCAATTTTGCTAAAAATTTGCTAACGTTTCTGTACACACTCCGCCATTCTATTCAGTAATTTTTAAATACCCAGAGAAGCTGAGAGTAAACAAATGGCTTCCAAAGTGTTTGCAAAACAAAATAAATGGAGAACACTGGAAAACAGCAGATTGTGCATAGGTCTAGAATTAATGTGCTTTCACTTATTTGTAGATCCAGCCCTAATTATCTTTTACATTTTTTTCCTTCCAAAATGTAACCAAGTGACAAACATCTGTCTTTGCTTTCTTTGCAAGAATGAACCAGAACCTGGATTGCCTCCAGGCCATCCAGACAACGATTTCAACTAGAACAACTGACCTTTGGAAGGGACTAGCACACAAAAACCTTGCCAGATTTAGGGGAGGGTGTAGTCAATTGGGAAAGACTGCAGCTTGTTCTCATGAAATTGCGTGTGAAGAGGACAGTGAACCATTAAGATAAGTAACTTAAAAAAAAGAGTTATATCTGATGGAAAAACATGTACTCACAATTGAGAATTAAAGTATAGTTAAATTTTGAGTTTTAAACTATCAATATTTGATATACATGCTCAAAAAATAAAGTTCTTTGAGTACAGAAAATCTGAATAGTTATATAACATTCATCTTTGAGTATTCAGAAGCTCTGAAGGTAAAGAATCATTGTTTTGTTTTTGTTTTTGTTTTTTTTCAACTAGGTCAGAGTTACTTGACTTGTAATTCCATGGTAGCTGTTAGATGCTTTTAGACATCTGTCAAGTATTTAATTTAGAAAATCATCAGTTCGGTCAAAGTTAAACTGATCTTCAGGAGTAAATGTCTTTAATACCAGAGCTTTATAGGCAGACACAGAGGGCTATGGATCTCTCTGAGATCAAAACAAGCCTGCTAGGGAGACCTTGTCTCACAAAAGGTAGATGGGTGGGGAACCAATGTTGTAAAGGAAAAATGTTTTTTTCTCCTAATATTCATTTAGAAGGCATGATATTATTTCTTTAATATATAACTATGCAGAAGAAATTTGAGTCTATACTATCAGCAATAACACACTACAAAATCATTAAGCCTTACACAGAGTGCTTATAGATAGATTGCTGTGCAGGGCAGCAAGGAAGTTACAGAAATGGCAAGGCAACTTTTCTTCCTTCATCCATATTTAGTGGATCATCTATATAATAGTTAAATGTCATTTTAAAAGTGTTGCTCATATAAAGAACTATGGGCAACTGAATAAAGTATTCTGAGAGTGAGAGAAATAGTCTTTCTGAGGGAAGAGCACATAAATTGCCCACCCACTCAATACCAAATGGTCAGTCCTGAAAGCATACACACAAGTAACATTATATAGACAGAGCAGGGTGTGCTTAGGAATATATACACTTACATACATGTGTGTAACAACAATTAGTGAAAAAGGGAGGCTATAAATTTGAATGATAGCTAAGAGGAGTATATGGAACAGTTTGGAGGGAGAAAAAGGAAAGGTGGAAGTGATATAATCATAGTATAATATCTAAACAAAATAAATGTAAATATAAATCAATGTAAAAATAATCAATGTAGAAAAGTTATTTTGGAGAATGGCAACAGCTTAATATGAAAGTAATATCCATAGTTCATAAAAATTCACTTGAAAGCCTAGAAATGAAAGGCTACAATGAATTTAGACATTAGTGTATTTGCTTAAGTAAAAGATTTTGCTGTAGCTGAATTCAAAATGATTGTGTGCATAGAATTCCAGAACCAAGATATTGTGGCATCTGCATGACACCATAACAAATAGTTTATGATTATGAGCTATCTATTTCAATACATTTTAAGAGTTTTCAAGAACAAATGCTTCAAAGGTTTGTCTTGAATTACCTAAGATGAAGACACTACTCAGAACACACGATCATGGAGGGCAAGGCCAGCCATGAGCACATTACTAGCTCCCTAGATATTTGCATGTGGGATAGTTTAGGTGGAGTCTTAGATTTAAGTTGTCAAAATTTAAAATCAGTCCAAGACCCTGAAAGTAATTTAACAAAGACTGACATCCAAACTTCTAAGTAAATATTGAAGTTGGAACTATAGATGGAAATACTGGCACAGAAAAAGATTAATCACCAATATTTGTTTCAGTTATGGGAATAACAAAAAGTAATACGTAGCAGCATTTAGAAATGCAACATCATGAAGTTGTCAGAATATTTACTTCAGTTTGAATTTAAATTATATGATTAAAAATGTTTTTTAACAACTAATTTTACATTTTATGTGTATTTGTGTGCACAGGGGTGGCACATGTATATAGCATATATGTGAAGGTTAGAGCACACCTTAGAAGAATTGACTCCCTCTTCCCATTGAGATATATAACTGAGGTCATCAAGCTAAGTGGCAAGCATCTTTACTCAAGACCCATTTATCATGTCTAAGTTTTCATATTAGAAAAAAATTCAAATCTGCTGTAAGAACTAAAAATAAATAAGAAAAATCTTTACTGTTCTGTCCTGATAAACCTCTTATGGTTTGTTCAAGGTAACCATATTTAAGTATAGTTTATTGTCCATGCTCACAGAGAAGTTACTGGTTCATGTGATATTTTGATAAATTGTTTTTCATTTATTAAGTTATATGTATGTGTATGTGTATATATGTATGCACCTATATATACTTTTTTTTTGAAATTAAAAATTCTGCCAGCTTAATACATATTAACAAATTTCCTAAATATTTTCCTACCTACATTACATATGTAAGTAAGATAATATAATGATATATGGATTTTACTGAATAAATTGGTGCATAATTCAGTTTTCAGTGGCATTGTATATGAGACCCACATGTTTAAACCATGTTTGGGAGAGTATCAAATTCTTCCAGATAGTACAATATGTGACAGTTCTATTATAAAGTCCACTTAGGACGCTGTCAGCCAAAACATTCTAAAGAAACAATCAATTTTGAAAAGCTATCTTTATGCAATTATTGCATCAGATGCTTCTACTAAAAAGAAACCAAACTGTAGCCTTTGTCATCATCAGCACCAAATCCATGTGTACACAACTGAGTGAGATTTACACATGAAACTGAGGCGTGTATGGGCTGAGGATAATAAGACACAAGTTAAACAATACCTCTCCCTCTTTCCAGCTCCAACTTGTCAATAAAAATTAAATATATAGCCTTAGAATATACTTATAGATTATTAAGTGAGCATATCATACAGTTTAATTTATTTAAAATCTTTTATTTTCAGCAAAATCAAACATATCATTGAGTTTACATAGAATTTAAATTCCAATCATGTCTTTATAAAAATTCACTGATGAAATAAATGTTCACATTAATGACCAATTTTATGTACTATTTGATCATGCCAGTAGTAGAACAGGTCATCATTAAAAATTGGTAAGTAATATATCATAAATGTGCAAATATCATCTTAGTATTCTTATGTGTTACAATTGATACTAAATGTTTGCTAAATATATATCTATTACATAAAGCTTTTAAAAGTACATTAAAAATACAAATTCTGTTTAAAAAAGCCGTATAGATGGCTTCTAAACATCCTCATTATACAAATTCCAAAATACTGAGAATCAAGGACTACAAAGACTTCCTGATAAAACACACAGTACCTGCTAATTATAGTTTAAGTTAGCAGGTATAAGAGAACATAAGTAGGAAGCCTCATGTATGCCATAAAGCATAATCATTCAAACATAAAATTGCATAAGCACCACATTTGATTTCTGCTCTGTTCCTAATGAAAAGGTACTTTAAACACTTCTATAGAACTCCAGGAGTAACAGAGCTACTTAGTTTTGATAAAATTCCCACAAACTAGCCCAGATTTTCATTACTTTATTTTCTTTTTATTGTGATAAACAAAATTAGAACTTTTGACAATAATTTTTTCTGCCCTGGTATTTTATATCATGGGTAAATATTTTGGAATCATATATTTTCAACAGGTAGGTTTATCAGTACATCAGAATGAGTGCTGGAGAGTTTTATTGCTCATATTCAAGATGAAGCTGGTAAGGATTTTTTTGTGAAAAATGAAATTCTGATATTAACAGAGAAAATGAAAATTAAAATAGTTAAATTTTCTTAAATTTAAATAAATTACCACACCAAATTTTTAAAGTATGAAGACTAATGTGGCATTGAGGCATAAAATCACATCATAACTGCGGAATATTGGTAACATAAAAATGGATAATAGGCATCACATCCGTAGAAAGCAAAAGCTTAATTTCCTAAAATACTGGAGCAGATGCTAGCCCAGTGTTACACTAATATGACAGCACATTAGAAATGAAATTTTACATTTTCCAGGGAAGCACTTTTTCCTCAATTGTTATTTTTGAGACAAATTAACCATTTTTAGAATATAACTTAAATGACTGATATTATTATTTCATATTTACTAATATTCTAAATATATTTTGAATGATTACTACTAAAACCTATATTCTTATTTTACCAGATAGAATTTAGTAAGCTGGTAGGACAATAGCTAAACTTTAGATCTTCATAATGAGGCAAACTTTTTATTCACTAAATGACCTACAGCTAATCATTGGTAGACTGTTTATTTGTGTCAAAATAGAATATGTATATTGGTCTGTCTCTTCAGATACTTGGAAGATATCAAGGTATGGCTTTTTGGGACAAGGATAATGAACTAATGTCCTGGAGAGTGAGCATAAATGTCAAGGTAATGATAATTTAAAATTCAGACAAGAAAGACATTTAGAAAATTTGTTTTTCAACTATAAATTCACCCATAAAATAGAAGAGAACATGAAAGTCCAATACACATTATACTACGTTCTGTTTAAAATAAAAGATAAATCAACAGTGAAAGTGAGGAGATTGTTACTTAAACAGATCTAAAAACATTTAGATATTAAAAAATATATTGGCACAAGTATGACAGCTATCTTAAAATAATGAATGATATATATGTACATAAACAAATTAAGCATGTCAGGATCACTCATTCATGATGTCAGCACCTGCTGTCTAATGGGTCGAGACAAAATACTGTTCCTTCAAGGGTTAGTCCCATTTTGAACCCCTCCTGTAAAGTAGAATAAAATTGTTAAAGTGTAAACATTAATGACAAAAGAAATCATATAATCATATTAATAAGCAAAAGAGACTATAAACAAAGCTATAATATTTATGTTTAAAATAAATGCCAATTTTGGCTTATCAAAACTTTACACAGATAAAATTCTGAGTTTTTTTTATACTATTGGACATTTTTCTGTCTTAAGTATATGAAATGAATGTGCATGAGAAATAAAAGAAAATAACAATTTAAGACATGATATACAGTTTAAGACATCTATTTTTTACAGGAGACATTTCAATATTTCATTTTACTATATAATTCATTACTAGTTTTTAAAATTGTGTGTGTGTGTGTGTGCGTGTGTGTGTGTGCAGGTTTGTAACCAGAAGACTAAAGGATGGTACTGCATGTCCTGGAAATAGTGTTATAGATAGTTCCATTTTTGATTTGTAGATGAGCCAGTTTTGTCAGTGCTGGAAATAACTCAGGTCCTCTTTAAGAGAAAATACTTTTCACTCCTAACTTACTTGTCCAGACTCCCTATGAGTGAGGATTCACAGAAGCTTGATAATATTCATGTTTTCCTTCTGGCTACAACAGTCCACATCCTGGGTAAAATACTTTTGCAAGGACAGTGCTATACTCTTAACAGGATGTAGTACCATGAACCACTATACCGTCTGAAAGCTGCCTATCAGTTTTGCTGCTGCTTTTTCTTTCCAATCAGTTTTGCTATTATTTTTAGTTTTGAAATTAAAGTATAATTACATCATTCCTTCCATTCTTTTTTTCTCTGTAAAACCTTCATATACCACCTCTTGCCCTCTTCCAAACTCATGGCCTCTTTTTCTGTAATTGTTGATCTATCTATCTATCTATCTATCTATCTATCTATCTATCTATCTATCTATCTATCTATCTATTGTCTATCTATATTTATCATCTATCTATCTATATTTATGAATCAACTGTCTATCAATGAATAAATATATGAATTTTTATAGTCTTGCCTTTGACTTCTTATACCGTAGCATGCTTTTGAAGGTAAGATGTCATTTAACTATTGAATGTTAAGTGAATAGTTTTCTCTCTCTCTCTCTCTCTCTCTCTCTCTCTCTCTCTCTCTCTCTCTCTCTCTCTCCCTCCCTCCTTTGTTCCCTCCCTCCTTCCCTCCCTCTCTCCCTCTCTTCTTTTATTCTGCCTTCCTTCTTTCTTTTTTCTTACTTGGCTGTGGAGGGGGCAATTGTTTGGTTTGAATTTTTGAGGCAAGGTTTCTCTGAATAACCCTGACTGTCCTGAAACTCACTTTGTAGACCAGGGTAACCTTGAACTCAGAGATCAACCTGCCTCTGCCTCCTAAATTCTGAGATTAAAGGAATGTGCCATTATGCTTAGCTTCTTTTCTACTTTGCAAAGAAACCATTGCATTATAAACTGTCTCTGATACTCTCATCTTTCTCCAACCTCATCTTGCCTCTAAATCAATGTACACTGGCTTACAAAGAAGCACAGATATGTGCAAGTCAGTGGAAATACAGGTCATATTGTAGGTTTCTTTGGGAGTCATTGTGATAGTACCTCATTACTTTCATTTACAATCAGCATTTAATATATTTATAGTTCTGTAATGCAAACATTATCGTATACAGAAGAAATCACATCTATAGCCAATGCTCAGATACCCTCATTATTTATTGCACACAGATTGTATAGTAGCGTTAGTACTGGAAAGGTTTATAAACTTCTTTCCACCATTTATATGCAAATCATATTCTACTGGGTAATGATCATAGTATTTATTAATCATTTTAAAAGCTTGTATTATAATAAGAACTATTTGTTATATGTATTTGTGAATAGCAATTAAATAGTTTTAAAAGTTAATACTAAAAATAATACTCACTACTTTTTTCAAATATCTGGTTTCTAGCTGAATACTTGTACACTCTTATTATCTAGTATATCTTAAATAATAGATGATGACAGATGATTAAAAAAAAGGTACTTGTAAACCACTTAGAATACCGTCACCACCATAAACTGCTTAGTTTAATCATCAAATAACAGATATGCTCTAGTAACCTCACTGGTTTTCTTTCTTCCTGAAATAAAACTCCCTGTACATTTATCAACCCTACTTCAATAGTTTCATTTTTATTTCATAATGTAATGAATTTTAACTCTTCTCTTGAATCTCTAAATCCCTGTTTTAAAACGTGGCTTAAAGAGTTTTCTTAGTGCAGTAGTTAGTGCACCAGTCTCATAAAAAATGAGCTTATTTATTTAATGTAATGATGGGACTAGTTTCATGAAAAAATTACTTTATAATTAGTGAAAACATTAATCATAGTTTTTCATATGAAACATTTTGCTGAACTGTATTTTTCTGTTTTGAAACAGAGAAGAGAATATATAGAGAAAACAGAATTCCTATGGCCTAAATGCTCATATAATGAGGTATGTGCCTTTAATTATCTCTTCAAGTTCCAGGAGAACAGAAGTTTTTTTTTTTTTCATGAAATATATTACTTATAATTTTCTATTCTGTTGTCTAAAAGAACTTTCTACTTTAGATTTCTAATCAAACTAATATACTCTGACTACAACACAGTATTATTCTTTAAAGTATCAATTCATTTCCATTACTTTACAATCATAAATAAGGTCAACAACACAATTTCATATGTAAAAATTTAAAACATTTATAATCATCTGTTCATGTTGATGTTTTAAATAGTATAGAAAATATAAGTGCAAATATTCATATCAAGTTTAGTATCAAATTAGTATGATTTCCTGTAGACATGCTGTTATACTCTAACCTTGATCTAGCAAACATTTAGACTTCATGTTTCTCAGCAAATTCATTCATGCTGTTTATTTTAAAAAATTGTCTGTTAATTAAAAATGGCACTTAGATTTTAAAACAATTATTTGTATGTCTGCTTTGATTACATAGAGTGCATTCACACATGATTTACACAATTGTGGCTCTTTCTCTGAGTCAGGGCTTATTATTCATGCAATGACTGTTTGGCATTGCAATCATCTGTCTGCTCCTTTAATTATACACATGCATGTAGTTCCATGTGTATGTATAGATTCACATGCACATGTATGTGAATGCTTAAGGAAGCTAGAGACCAATTTTGGGCATCATTCCCCAGGATTGCCACCACCCTCCTTGAGGCACTGGCCTGGAGGTATTGCTTGTATTTCAATTATACATGGGCTCCCAAATTTTTAAACAGTTGACTTGATATTTGTGTAAAATTCTTTCATCCTTTTTAGACTTGCTATTGTTCAAAAACATATTACAATGTTTTATGCATATGTGCATGTTTGTATATGTGTTCATGTATGTGTGTGATTTGTATATCATGTGGGTACAGGTGTATGTGTTGTGCAAGTATGGGTGCACATATACATACATGGGCATGTATATGGATGCCAGAAATCAAGGTTGGCTGTTATTTTTTAGGAATGTCTTCCATGTTGTTGGCTTGAAACTTCCCAGTTAGATTACATTGCCTGGCCAATATACCCCAGGAAACATCCTGTCTATGTTTTTCTAGTGATGGGATTACACTGGATTTTTATGTGGGTTCTAAGACTAAGATTCTCATGTTTGCATGGCATCCACTTTGCCAAATGAGTTATTCTTCTCAACTTCTATTTCATTATTGTAATTCATAAAATATACTCACAGCTATCCATACTGTCTTATTCCTTTGTCTGAGAAAGTCACATACTTTAAAAATATATTAAATTGCTCAACTATTTGCAATAAAATATGGTTTGACATTTCTGCTTTAATTTTTACATGCATGAGACATTCTTAGAATTTCAAAGTCAGTACTGAAACTCTTAGTAATAATTTAGTTTTAATCTTCTATAATAAAAAGAAAACTAAATATTTAGCAAAGCTTGCCACTAATGTCACAGACTATATGACATTATTAACTTAGCCTATTATACTATATTGGTATTTTATATAATATGAAGATAGAGTAGACATATGTGTATATTAGATTAACTAGGATCATTGTAGACTATAAATGAAAGAAATATTATTTTATTATATTTAAAGTGACCTTGTAAATAATACTTGAACTAACACAAGCACAAAATGAAGTGAACAATGAAATATTGACAATAACTGAAATATTAATCTGAAGATCTGAGCTATGTAGCCTCTTTAAACACACTGAACTAATCACATACAACCATATGAAACTTGTTTGAATAGATATTAAGTGAAACATGCAGAAACAAATATTTTAGCTCTTAAAAAGTTTGTTAGCTCTTTAAGTTATGAAATGAGATACAAACCATCTCTGGCGCTACCCACCATGAAAGCAGGAGGATAAAAGAGACATTAAGAAATGTTTTAGAAACCTGAGAATCAAAAGCATTGGATCTCACTCTAAGATTACCTGAATACCATATTTTTACATCACTCTTGTACCACATTTTTCAAACTTGGTGTCATCAACTCTGTAGATGAAGGCTTATCTTTTAAAATCTGTTCAAGTCTTAAGTTTACTATTAAAAACACAAGGCCTTCATGGAAAGTCTTCATAATCTCCATCAGCTTGAGAGCAGTTACTCCTCTCAGCTCCCAAGGTCATGATCTACAGGCATTATCCCAGAAAGTTCACTCGAATGAGCACAGATGACAAAGGAAAATAATTAATTCAGAGAGGACACTGTATTATGTCTTATTAACCAGTCACTTTTAAGTGAAATTTTCAGTCACATTAAAAATTTTACTGTGAACTTTGTGGATGTTATAATGACTATAAAAATTATATGGCTCAGTCATCAATGATTTTTTTCACAATATTTTAAAAATATAATCATTTCAGTAAATTTAAATAAAATAAAATAAAAATTTAGGGAAAGAAATGGTAATTGAATTTGAGAAATTTTGATACATTCTTCGAAAACATCAAGAATACTTTTAAATAATTCAACCTTTCAAATGCTAAATTACTAAATTTAAATTACTAAAGCTAGAACAAAAAATGACAAGGACATAAGAATTAGAAAAGTCAGCAGCATGTCATTTATCTGAGTGGAAGAATATTTGTATTGTCTCAGGGAAAGGCGTGTGCTCACCAGCTTTAGATCACAGTTTATTCTCTGGTTTGGGGGTAGGTATGCATGGATGATGAAGCTCAAGGTGGAAGTGAGTTAATCAGGGCAACAAGCAGAATAACTCAACCTTCTCACATTAATGTCTCAGATACCTCTTCACAGTCACTTCCAAGTAGTTCATGCTGTTCTCAATTTTATCAGTTATGAATATTTGTGATGTAAAATAAGACATAATTATTTTATTCAAACATGGAGGATAAATATAAAGAGAAGCCATTACTCCAATTTATATATGACAATCTTTCCATCAATGGGAAAATCTATAAGCTTTAAAAACCACCTTCTTTCAACTTACAGAAAAGTTTAAAGAAAGTAGCTTGACCAATCACCTAAAGAAGCTGCCACTAGTGCTTGCCTTCTCAAAAGTCAAGGAGTCATGACCCACAATTACAATGCTTCTTCTAAAAAAATTTATAATAATGTTAATCTTACAAAATTTTCCCTCATAGATTCCCTTTACAATTTTGAAATTCTGAACTATTAAGACTGAGACAAAAGTGTTACAGTCTAATTAAAATGGCTTTTAAGTTCTGTAACTTAGAAACATACAATCCTGTCATTTGTATTAAAAATAATCATCTTCTTTCCATTGTATATTGATCAAGAAAGACATAGTCCTTGGCATGTGTAAGTGCTTCAAAGAGTAAGTGTAGTTATTTTTAGTCTAACTACTTTAAACATGTCTCTATAGCAACGAAGGATGGAGCTTTGGTATAAACATTTTGCTGCTATTGTTGTTCCAGATTAAAAGAAATAAATAATCTGTTAAAATAGTCACCTGCATCTCATCTAATTTGGACTGAATATCAGGAGGAAAGTCCCCCGCTCCACAGTTAAATGGGTCAAAAGGTTCAGCTCCAAAAAGGTCCCGTTCTGTAAGGAAGAAAACATTTGGTAAGAGATAGGATGAAACGTTAGTTGAGATAGAACAAAATCAGACATATAACTTAAAATTATGAATTTAATTGTTATATTAATATAAATATTTACAGGATCAAATGAGCTACTGATATTTACATTTTCTGTTACGTATTTTTGAGCCAAGTAAGGAAAGAATATATTTTGTGATATTAAAAATTCTCTGGCAAGATAAGTCCAGTTAAATTTAGGATGATATTGCCATAAACAAGTGTTGTATGTTCTTATTCACATGTGAATATTGGTGTCAAATATTTATATTTGTATGTTCAACTTAGAGTATCTAGAGCAACTAGGAAACTAGAAATGGATTATTGGTGAGGAAAATGAAGAAAGATCTTAAAGGAAGAGGAATAGTGGTGAACATAGATGATATGAAAGAGAAAATGCATAAGAAATTTTAGGGAAGGAGAGTAGTGGGAGAGTAGACAGAAAAGAGGGTTGGAGGAGGCATAACTAACCATAATGATACTTGAAAAAGTCATGTTAAATCCTATTATTTTAAAAGCTTCATGTGTGTATTTCCATGCTCATATAAACGAGTTTAATTGCAGTATGCAACACAGAGGATAAGGTTTCTTCCAGGTGCCATAGATACGCAAATATAAAACCCAATATCAAATGAGGAATATCTACCCTAGAAGTTTATCAGGGATGTCCAGTAGTTATCACTTCCCCTCCCCCGAAAAGAAGAAAAACCATGGTTACATCTTAGTTAGTGTTTTATTGCTGGGGAGAAACACCATGACAATGGCAACTCTGATGAAACAACAACAACAAAAACATTTAGTTAAGGCTGGCTTACACTTCAGAGGTTTAGTCTATTATCATCATGGAAAGCATAGTGGTACACAGTCAGACATGGTGTTGGTAAAGGAGCTGAGAGTGCTACATCTGGATCTATAGCCAATGGAAAGTGATTGTGTGTCACAATGGACATAGCTTGAGCATAGGAGACCTCAAAGTCTGCCCCGCAGTGAGACTTCATCCAAAAAGACCTCACCCCTTAATAGTGTCATTCCTTATAGGCCAAGCATTCAGTTGGGTGAAAGTACCACATTCTACTCCTTGGCTCCCCAAAACTTGTAGGTACAGCATAATGCAGAATTGTATTCAGCCCACCTTCAAAAGTTCCCATAGTTTCTTTCAGTTTCAAGCCTGTTTAAAAGTCCAAACTACAAAGTCTCTTTGAGACTCATATAATCACTTTACTGTAAACACATATAAGATAAAATAAAAAAGAAGATCACATATTTTCAACATATGTTGGCACAGGATACACATTAACATTCCAAGAGAGAAAAGACTGTATAGTGAGGAAATCCTGGACCAAAGGAAGACTGAAAGCCAACTAGGCAAACTTTTAACTCCACATCTCTATGCCTGATGTCAGCATGCTCTACAGACCACCAACTGCTTTTAGCTTTATTGACTGCAACACACTTCTTTCTATTAAGCTGGTTCCACTCCCTGTTACTCCTTGGCTGATAGCCAATGATTCTGGTATTTCCAACATCTTAGGGTCTCCAAGGCTCTTCAGGCTTCACCTTCACAGGTCCATGCAATGGCTTTTCTAGACCTCCATGAAGGAACACCCCTAACACATGCCTGGTCTCAGCAGCTTTTCTTAGTCATGGAAGGAGATTCCAAAACTCCTTTCTTCTGTCCTTGATTTTAAAACCAAAACCATGTGGCCAAATCTGCCAAGTCCTGCTGCTTGCTTGGGTCAGAACATAGCCCCCTTATTCAATGACATCTTCACCAGTTTTTTTTTCCTTTTTCTTTGTGTGTGTGTGTGTGTGTGTGTGTGTGTGTGTGTGTGTGTGATGGTTTCCTTTACTTCCTAAACTTGACTATCTGGTAACTTGCTATGTAGACTAGGCTGGCCTTGAATTCAGCTATCTGCCTGCCTTTGTCTCTGCAGTGGTAGAATTAAAGATGGCTTTATGTGTTTCTTTCATTCCTTTTTGGCATGTTGGAAACCTAGCTGGGTGGGATCCCTGTGTTCACCACTCCTTTTATTGCACTTAGCATGAGGCTTTTCTTTCATCTATCTGTCTCCTTGAACACAGGACTGAGATCCATTCCAATTCATGATGCTCCCTTTCTTCTTGAACTATACATTTTTTTTATTTCTCTTTGAGCAGCTTTCTCCTTCTCATTAGAGCCTCATAAGAATAAACAGTCGTAAATAACCACATGACAGAATCAATACTAAGATGTTCTGAAAATTTTCTGGCCAATACAACTACTCTAGAACTCTTCAATTTAGCCTGAGGTAAAGTTTTCAGACAAGGGCACAGAGCAGCCATATTCGTCACCAAAATATTACAGGAATAGTCTCTAGGCCTCATATTGACATTCTTCTCTTCTGAAGCCTCTTGAGCCAGGCACCCACAGTTAAAATCAAGTTAGCACCACTGTCTTCCATGTGTCTATTAGGATAGCCCATTAAGCCCTATTTAAAGCATCTAACTGTTTCATTTTTGTGAGAAGATACCATGACCATAGCAACTCTTACAAAGGAAAACATTTAATTTGGGCTGGCTTAGAGTTTAAAGGTATAGTCATTATCATCATAGAAGATATGCAGGCTGACATGATCCTGGAAAGGCAGCTCAGAGTTCTATATCTTGATCTGCAGGCAGTAGGAAGTGACTGTGTGCCACACTGGACATAGATTCAACATAGGATACTTCAAAGCTTACCTCCATATTTACCTCCATACTGACACAAAGCCACACCTACTTCAACAAGGTTTTACTTCCTAATCATGCTATTCTTTATGGGCCAAGCATTCAGACAGCAGTCTATAGTAACCATTCCTATTCAAACTACCACACTAAAGTTCTTGTTTGATAATCAGATCTTTATATCGCGATTGTATTGCTGACGACACTACACACTTGGGCCACACAACATGGAGAAATCAAGTTGGCACTGACAAGGAAGCTTTATTCAAGCTGGCTAGCCTTTGTAGTACCATGGCTACTATTTAGACTTGGCTAATAAGAGAATAGAAAAAAAAAACATTAACATTGTAACCCAGTTGTGAATCCTCTGAACTATGATAATGTCTGGTGTGGTAAGATACAGGCATAGATTCAATAGTGTAACAAAGATTATGTTGGTAATCAATTGCTTTCAGATTGAATTTAAAGACTGGTCCACAAGAGGAAAAAAATCATATCTGGTTCTGTTAATCTGACCAAAAACCTATGAATAAAGAGACCAGAGGCCCCAAATTGAAACTCTATTATTCTATCAAAACGACTAAATACTAAACTGCTTTCTAAATTCAGATTTTTTAAGCCTGTAGTTTAGTGTAACTTTCAGACTTCATCAAAAGAGTTTGTATAATATATGATGATTAATGCAGAAACTCACAACTGATCAAAATGTAGAGAATAAATGTTGTTGAAGTTCTCATTCACAAATGAGATATCTAAATGATCCATCCCTCAAAGTTAGGAATCATTTTGGAAGAGGAGATAGAAAGACTGTCCAGATATTAGAAAGGACTGGGGCAAAGCAGTGTCATGCAGATATGACCGAATCTCTGTATTCATAAACTCACACTAGCTGGAATGTCCTGCTCGACATCAAGCAAGTCAACATTTTAATATGAGCTCCTGACTTCTAATTGAGGAACGGTTTACATCTGTTGGTTTCTAGGTGTGTGAGAGTCAATTTTCTTAAAGAGTGTATCTTCTATGAATGTACCCACACTCATAAGAGCAACACAAATTGGACTGGATGAATTACATGAATAAGAGGAAGACACAAAGTTGAGAAAGAGTAAGAAGTTCGAATTTAATCTGGAAAGAGTTACAGGCAGGAGAGGGGGTAAATATGATCAAAATATATTGTGCAACATCTTCAAATAGTCAATAAAGCTAATATTAAAAATATTTGGTCATGAATAATGGTTCATATCTATAATACTTTCCCTGGGGGTGGAGTGGAGGCAGTTCTAAAACGTTCAAAGCCAGCTTTGGCTAGAGTAAGACTCTGTCTCAACAAAATCATAATGGCAAAATGTCTGTGGTACTGTTGAGATGCTTTCTAGAGTGCATTTTATGTGTCTTTAGTGTAACTTCTTAACAACAACACTACTAATATTTAATAATTGACCTATTACAATGCTGATATTTTATCGCAGAATTTACTAATATTAATATGAGATTTCTTTAATTCCACCTGTTGCTGTCTCACAACAGAATGGCAAGGAAACATGCAGAATTTGTAAGTTAGCTGTTTACTTGTAGTTCATAAACTTGAATCTCATTTTTTAAAAAAAATTCAAGACAGTGTGTATTGAACAGCATGAAATGATGTAATTTTTGTAGGTCACATTGAACCAAGTTTTTAATGGGAGTCCTCAAATGTAAGAAACAGATTTTTATTTTAACATCCTGAAGGAAGAAGACAGCAATTGGTTATCCAGTAACAAATGGTAAGTCCTAAACATATGTACCATTATATATACTGGGAAGTTTGTATTTAGGAATGCACATGTCTGTTCACATGGACACACATACACATATAACAACAATTAATAAAGTCAAAAGTTTGAACACGAACAAGAGGGGGTATAAAGAAGGTTAGGGGAGGAAAGGAAGGGAGGAAATGGTATAAATGTATTATAATCCCAAAATTTATTTTTTAAAAAGTCCATTCAGCCCTTATATATGCTTTAAATAGCTTCCTAAATGCACTGTAAGCAGCACCTTACAAACACTGGATGTAAGCACTGCTTCTATACAAAAGACGAATCAAAGTTTTCATGATAGGGTCAGGGCTATCCTTATCCATGGGTATAAGAACAAATGCTTATAGATTGCTGTTAGGGTTTATGCTGGTTTTGAAATTTAATAATTGTAGATTTTTCTTCAATAGCCAAGACATCCCTAGCACAGTAGTTTGCTAGGTTTCAAAACTTCTCTTTACAACAGAAAACCACTTCAGACTACAGAGTTTTGGAGTCCAGTCCCAGTGGATACATCTATGAGACACTCTTACTTTTACACCCAAGGCTCAGGGAACATTACAGAACCAGGGACAGAAACATTGCAAGAGCTACTAGCCAAAACAAACAAAAAAAATCAAAAACAAAAAACACAAAAAAACAAACAAAACAACAAAACAACAATAACAACAACACAAACAAACAACTTTGTTTTTTCTAATACTTGACAAAACAGCTAAGTAAGCATTATTAAGTTTTGTACAGTCTGGTAAAGACTGGTATCACCTCTTTTAGACATATAGCAGGTATTACAATACTTGGATTGCATGGTAGTACTTTGTTTCAGCTTTTTTGAGAAATCTCCATCCTTTTTTTTCCTATCATTTTGGAAACATTGACACATGTTTATCTAAGGAATACTGATCTGGAGCATTTTTTCATGTACCCAGCCAATGACATAGATCTATCTTCTTGAATGGTATATCTGCTGCCTGTGTTTTTATTTGAAAAATTATCTATATATTATCTATATATTTTAGATGTCAGAAGTGCTTTCACCCATTCTTTGTATTAGTATTCACTTTAATGTTTCCTTTGTGAGTAAGAAGGTTCTTTGAAGTAAAATCACTTGTTTACGATGATGATGAATCTTGGTTGTTGGCTTGACTCGTCTAGGAAGGAACACTCTCAACTGTAGAACTTATTCATTCTAGCCTGTGGGCATGCCTGTGGCATGTTCCTGATTGATAATTGATGTAAGAGAGCCCAATCCATTGTGAACAAATGGATTTAGGTTGCTAAGAGCATGAGCCAGGGAAGAAGTTAATGAGCGCTGTTTCACAAATGATCTCTGTTTTTTTCCTGCCTTGAGCTTCTGTCATGACTTTTCCTGAAATAATCTATTTCCTCCTCAAGATCATGGTGTTTATCACATCAATGAAAAGAAACCAGAATATCTATTTTTTGCTTTCTGTGTTATGGGAATTTGAGTGCAAAAAAAAATCTTGTTCATTATATATGCCCATTCTGAGTTGATATTTTGAAAAATTATAGTGGGCTGACATTTATACAAATTAAAGGTTAAGGCTTAATAGTGACGTGTTTGTGTGTCAAGTGGACAAGAATTCAATTGTACTGGCTTGTTTTGTGTGTCAACTTAACACAAACTGCAGTTATCACAGAGAAAGGAGCCTCTCTTGAGGAAATGTCTCCATGAGATCCAGCTATAAGGCATTTTCTCAGTGATCAAGGATGGGAGGACCCATTGTGGGTGGTGTCATCCCTTGGCTGGTAGTCTTGGGTTCTATAAGAAAGCAAGCTGGGCAAGTCAGGGGAAGCTAAGCCCCTCCATGGCCTCTGCATCAGATCCTGCTTCCTGACCCGCTTGGATTCCAGTCCTGACTTCCTTTGATGATGAACAGCAGTGTGGAAAGCTGAATAAATCCTTTCCTTCCCAACTTGCTCCTTGGTCATGATGTTTGTGCAGGAATAGAAACCCTGACTAAGACACATACTCTGGCCCACACAATGAGTATCTTTTGAATGCTTTCTATATATCAAGGAGAGATTTTAATGATTTTTTTACAGATATGTAGAAGATAACATCTGAAAAAATGTTTTTAGATATTTAGTACATCAAAGACAAACCCTTTACATAATACTATACACAGAAAAATTATAGGAGTTTCACTCTTTACATATTTTTCCACTAACGACTCATAAATGCATAACAAGACTATGTAAACTACTCTAGTAAACACATAACAAATAAATCCATTATGACTAGTTATTTTTAACAATGTTGAGATATTAAATAAACACAAATGCACAGTTGAATAATGTTTTATGATGCAAGTAGCGCTATATTAAAATACTATTTTTCATGTAAGGTTCAACTTGCAAATAGGGATGTGTTTAGTATTATTTTCTCAATTATAAAGCAAAATAGATTTAATCAAATTTGAAACCTATGTAAAAGCTTAATACTTCAGTAATTAAAGCTGTAAGCCTGTTACTTTATTTCTACAAAATGTGAAAGATTGAAAATACAGCCAAATATAGCAATAGTGATATATTTAGAGAGCTTACTGATCTCTGCAGATCTGTTAGGTATGGGTGGTAGCTGTGTGCCATTTCGAGCAGATGTTGGAGACTGGTGTGATATTGGGGAAAATGGAATCATGTCAAAGATGTCAGTGGAAGGAGAAGTCACTGTCACACCACTGGCCTGTAACGAAGATAGGAATTAGTGTGATGACCAAGATAGGCATATTCCTATCCTGAGAATGTTATATACATGTAAAATACACACACACACACACACACACACACACACACACACACAAATAAAACTCTGGTGGGGAGTCAGATAACTTTGCATTCTATAAAGGAAAAGTAATTAACTATAGTTTCATGTTTTTTGAGCTAGTACAGCAAATACTCACTTAAAAGAAAACGGCATAAATTTGTTCTCAAAGCAGATAACAGCAACAATGTGGACACAGTTGAAGATGGGTGAGCAAAGCAATGCTGAGCTTTTGTATATTATAAACAATTGCCATCTTGTCAGAAAATAACTAACACCTTAGAAAATATGTGAATAAAAACAAATATTTTGAAATTGACTTCACATAAGATTTTTTAAAAGAAACAGTTGAACATAATAAACTACTTTCTTAATTATAATGTTTAAATAAAATTTACATTTTTTGTATTCTTAAAAGCAAAGCATATTCATTTGCATTTGTAAGTACAGAACAATTAACTGACATTGATTCCAATACATTTTATACCTGAATAAATTCATCATGTTTTTAATAATAAACAGTTTCCATGTAAAATAAATTAGTAAGTCACAATGTAATACCCAAACTATTAAATTATACAATCCAGGTTGGAACTGGAAAGATATTGAAAAATTAAGATCCTCTGAAAATTCAGCCAAAAATTAATGTGAAATGGAAGAATTAGAAAATTTTCAAACAAGGTAAAACATCTGTATTATCTCTTATAGGAACTGTCATACTGATTAAAGGATGAAGTTTTTCATTGGAGAGGAATAGAAGATATTTTGTTTTTGCTTTTTTTTTTTTTTACTTTTGCTTTTAGATTATGGAAATATTACCAAGAGTGGCTCATGGTAGAGTTCTCAGGGTAAAACAAACATGGGGTTGGTTGTATGCATAAAGAGATGGATGAGATGATTAGGTGAAATGACAACTAGGTATATTTTCTGCATAAAAATTGCCATTGTAGTACTTTCTTCAACATTTTACTTATTATAATAAGTAAATCACTCACTCCTACAGTATACAGGAATATTGCCCTCTTAATCCTTTTCTTCTTCCCTGGCTTGCAAATTGTTCCTCAGCATGTAAAAATATTACACTGGAAATATTGTGGCTTTCTTCTAGCTTCTGTACTATTTGTGTACCATATTTTCAGGATTTATAAACTCCTAGGATTCTCTGCTTTAAACTGCACTAAGCAGGAACTTAAGAAAATCAAAATATCCCAATAAGGCATCAAGTCCCATTGCATTGCCTCCAGCCACATCTAACCATTTAGTACCACACACAGGACACACATGCTCACTAAGTTCATAGCAGCCTTATTTATAATAACCAGAAGCTGGAAAGAACCCAGATGTCCTCAACAGAGGAATGGATACAAAAAAAATGTAGTACATTTACATAATGGTCAGCTATTAAAAACAATGAATTTGAGAAATTCTTAGGTAAGTGGATGGAACTAGAAAATATTATCCTGAGTGAGGTAACCCAATTACAAAAAACAAACAAACAAACAAACAAACAAAAACACTCATGGCATTCACTCACTGATAATTGAATATTAGCCCAGAAGCTTGAAATACTCAAGATTCACCTTACAGACCACATGAAGCTCATGAAGAAGGAAGACCAAGTGGGGGTGCTTCGGTCCTTCTTAGAAGGAGTAACAAAATACTCAAGAGAGCAAATATGGAGACAAAATGTGGGACAGAAATTGAAGGAGGGGCCATCTGGAGACCTTTCCACCTTGGCATCCATCCCATGTGCAGTCACCAAAGGTAGATGCTGATGTGGATGTCAGGCAGTGCGTGCTGACAGGAGCCTGATATAGTTGTGTTTTTAGAGGTCTGCCGGAGTCTGACATATTCAGAGGCAGAGGCTCACAGCTAACCATTGAACTGATCATGGGGTTCCCAATGGAGAAGTTGAGAGAAGACTGAAGGAGCTGAAAGGGTTTGCAGCCCCATGGGGAGAGCAACAATACCAACCAACCAGAGCTCCCAGGGTCTAAACCACCAGCCTGGGAGCACATAGGGAGAGACCCATGGCTACAGCTGTATATGTAGGGGAGGATGGCCTTGTAGGGCATAGGTGGGAGAGGAGATCCTTGGTCCCATGAAGGTTGGACACCAAGTGTGGGGGAATTCGAGGGTGGGGAGGTGGGAGTGGGTGGGTTGGTGGGGGGCACATCCTCATAGAAGCAGGAGGAGGGGGGTGGGATAGGGGGTTCCTGGGTGGGGGGTTGGGAAATGGGATAAGGGGATAACATCTGAAATGTAAATAAAATATCCAATAAAAAATTTAAAAAACAAAAAAGAATTCTTTTAAAGTAGGAAATGGATAATAGAGTTTTCTGCTTTGTAAGTTATATAAAGTCTAGGAATGCTGCTCTCACTGACTGGCCTGAGCAGGCCACTTTTAGAAAGTGATCACACTGACAGTCTGGGACAGGAGAGTTGATAAGACTGAGGGAAATGGAAACATGTTTCTTCAAGGAGATGGATCTTCACTATTGCTCCAGAGACAGGATGAGCATCTTTAAAAAATCTGTGGCACATGACCAAAGACTCTGTGTGGCAGCTGTAAAGGATGAACAGAAAGAGAAACATGCTAAGGAGGAGAAAAGAGGCTTGGAGGGAGTGAAGAACATACAGGAAGATTATTTGGGAAGGGTGTTTTGTGAAAATTACAAGAGTACGGTTACAAAATCTAAATAGCTGAAGCTGGATTTCTGTATGAGTTCTCACTAATCAGCTTATTGAAATATCATCATATTTTCATAGTTTTAAACAGGATATTAGAGTCACCAGGACTTCAGAGGAAGACAGTAAAGAAGAAACTGTGAACATCTGTGATGCTTTTTGAGGTCTTGTTGATTTAGGATGGTAGGTCCAGTAAGATGAACAGTCATGGACGTAAGAGAAGTTCTGGTGAGTGGTTAGTGATTGTAGAATTTTCTAGAGTTAATATCCATTTTAGTAATCTTTGAGTTTTCATAAGTAGTAATTACAATTGTGATATACTTATATTTTCACTGAAGTAATGTGTGTAGATTCATAGGATGTACACATCTCTAAGCTCAGAAGCATAGACAAAGTCCAAAACTGTGATTCTAGTTCCCTTGCCCATCCTGAAAGTAGGAGGTTATCCGTGGTAGAACACGCTAGAGATGGAAAGGAAGTTATCAAGAGCCTCACAGCAATTGAAGGCCATAAACAATGGGAAAACTGTAAATGGCAAAGGGGTAAATAGTGCCTGCATATCAAACTTCAGGTGCCTTTTGGGAGGCATTCTTCTAGCATGCATATTTCTAGTCAAGAGATGATCTTCGTCCAGGAGTTAGATCCTATAGTTGGCAATGTATTAGCTAAAATGAAAGCTAGAACTTAAAGTATCATACTAAATGGGCCAGAAAGAAGAGCCCATTCCGTCAATGCTCCTTCTCATTTCCCCATAAGAGGAGCTCAAAGGATAGAGGTATGGGATAGGCACTATGTCGTTGCTTAGGGAGGTTGAACAAAGGTTCTCAAGGTTAGAATTTAGGTTTTCTTTTTGTCTTTTCCTAAGAGAAGGAGGAGTGCTGAATACAGAATCAGAGAGAGGGAAAGTGTTGTGAAGACCCCAGCATAAACAAAGCTAGTGACAACATTAAAGAGATGTCTTGACCAAGAATGTCACAGAGAGACCTTTTTATCAAGGCTCAAAAATGCAGAGATGCATGCCTATGAGGCCAGCTAGGAAACTGAGTGCCTGACTCTACTGAACTCTGCCCCAGCTCTGTGGCAGCAGGGCGGGGTAGAATTGGGTGGAAGCTTTGTGGCAGCAGGGCGGGGTAGACAGGGCGGGGTAGAGTTGGGTGGAAGCTCTGTGGCAGCAGGGTGGGGTAGACAGGGCGGGGTAGAGTCAGGTGGAAGCTCTGTGGCAACAGGGTCGGGTAGACAGGGCGGGGTAGAGTTGGGTGGAAGCTCCTTGGCAGCAGGGTGGGGT